CTTATAGGACTCAAATATAAAATGTAATAACTTATAGTAAATAACAAGCTCAACTCCCATGTACACTTCCGACAACCTAGAGTACTACTTCCTGCAGCTACTCTATTTCTAATTTGTATCAGTACTTCCCCCTGAACAACGCCCTTGTCCTCAAGGGTGAGGACTTCAATCCATCCAGGATCAAATGGAAAATGTGAAGCTACTTCAATTCTGAAAGTTCTTGTCCATGGATCGAGACATCTCTTCGGAACCATTCTACTGGCAAGCAAATTTTCAACACCAATGATTATGACGCATTGAGGTATTTCTTCAATGCTTCTGACGTCTTGAAGCATCTGTTCTGGAGCAACCCATAGCAATTCAGTCAACCGATGAGACATGGCTGGAAAGAGTAATTGCTGAATATTATTGAACAACTCCAACAAAAGATTTAGTCTGGTACCAGAAATGTTCTTTTGAATGTGCCTAAAGGTCCATGGAATAAAATCTATAACAAGCTTGAATGGTTTCCATTGTATTAAAGAAGAATAATGTGCAGTAGTTGCCTGAAAAAGGAACTTAAGTCAATGCTTAAGATAATCTTCAAAATCTGCCATGATTATCTCCACAGTATACTGGAATGCAACTTCAAACCAGTGAGGCACACTCCCTAACATAGCACCCTTGTAGTTGTTATAATTGCAGCAAGAAGAGAGAAACTTTCGGATTCCCTCTGGTTACTAGGATCAATTTGCAAGACCATGAAAACTGTTTCATTTTTCAAACATCTAACAACTTCGTTCAACGCCTCATATACAGCAGTCTTACGTTGCGACTTACCCTCATCTTCCATGTGAGANTGCGACTGACCCTCATCTTCCATGTGAGAAACATTAAGAACAGATTGCACAAACTTTTCCCCGAGTATCATGTTCATCTGGTCGACATCCCAGATATGAATCCAAAAGGGATCATGTACCCCTGCAAATCGTAGTCCAACGTCCCTGCAAGCAACAATAGTCATCATCATATGTGAACCATCCAGCAAGTGCACGAAATTTAGAGGAAAAGCAGTTCTCTATTTCTTGTCCTTAACTAAATCAGCCTCGCGCGATAAAGCTAAAATTTGAAGAGAAGTTCTTATAACATGCCACTGATTTTTAAAGTAAAACAGCACAATAAGGAGACCTAAGGGTGTCGTCCACTGCATTGGCTGATGTTCTGAAGCAATCCTCTTAACACAGTCACCTAGTCAAGTCATTGCGCAACGATCAGCTTGAACTAACTCCCTATCACTTATCCATAAGCCCACATGAGTGATTATTACACCAAGAACCTTCTGTATTGAATAACTGGAGTATAAACCTTCAGCTGGAATGACAATTAACATAAAGGTATGCTCAGCATTATACAAGAATGGCGACTCAGCAAAAGAGTTAAGTACACAACTTGTGTTAACCACAGTACTTTGACTGTCCACTTGAACAAAAGAATAAAATGCACCATGAAAAAATTTAGCCGCATAGCAAGAGACAGTGAATAGAAGCTTATCATCATTGATAGGACCCTTTTCCTCCCCTTTTTGTTTGAATTGTTCACACAACCCGACAGAGGTAACCCCGTATACTGAGGTTGCCATTGTCTGCTTTACCAATGTCTTCTCAACATGATTAGTTAATAGTTTGTCTAAGAAAGCATTGGAGTCAGTTGTACGGTCCTCAGAACTATCTCCTTTGATAACATGATGAACACTTAGAGAAATCCCAGTATAAACATCTGTTGGCTGCTCTTCAATAATTAAGTTGACAGTTGTTGCCACCATAATATCTCTTTCCAGAGATACATAGTATTCTAGGCCATTGCATGAACCATCCTTTGAAATTCCAACCGACGAACATGAATAAACTATTTGATCACGCACATGAATCGGACAAAAGTCTAGAATCCACTTCCCCATCAAGCCACCCTCGTCCTCAAGGGTGATAGTTAAAAATGAAGAAATAACCACACCTGCTACTGCCTTTCCGGTGCTTGGAACAACTTTGTATCCTGAAGCTCTATTTCTAATTGCACTAGCTTTATCTAAGCCAATATGTATTTCAAATCCTTTGAACCCAAGCTTATGGGCTTGCACTCCAAGAAGTTCAAGTAGCTTATATTTCCGTTCCTTATCTAATGAAGAGGAGTTGGTGCATCTTTCATCTGTTGATTGAAGAAGCAAGATGACTTGTGGAATTGACTCTACCCTCTTCCGAATAGTTTCACTAAGTTCAAAATTTTGAACTCCTCTAAAAATAACAGCAGCTTCTCGGACCTCAATTCCTACAATCACACCTCTTTATATCTCCTTTCAAAAAATCCACAAGGAAGGTAGACTACCTTTAGAGCTCCCGACAAAACTTGACGATCAACATATGAAAACAGATGTTGAGTGTTCCCAGCAAAGTTCCACTTACCCAAGGCCTTTATAATAGGCACAATATTCCCAGTACCAAGTTTGACATGTGACACAAAGCTCACTTTAAAACACTTGCTCCTGAGAATAGAAATGTCGACACTTATAGAAACAACCTTTTCCATTAACTTCCTAATTGAATCTAGAGGTCTCCACCTTTGAGGATGATTAGGCGAATCAACCAAGTCAACTTTACAATTATCATTCTCTAATTTGTCTCAACAAATAACACCATATCTTCCATGGCCCTTGTTCATAATATTAACACTATCACTGCCGTGATCATCACCACTTCTATTCCATTTTTACCTTACACGATAAGTGAAAGCATTGGTTAGTAACTCATACCTCAATCTATAAGCAACATGTTGCCCTTCATTGTATATATGAATTTCTTTTCTCAACATCTCATTAAGTGCATAAAGTATCATGGCGCTAGGTAGAAGGAAGCAGTGCTTCCCTATGAACTTAGCAAAAGAGTATATCTCTAAAGACTTGGAAGTTTCTCTAGTGTTGCATATTACACCATTACTTATAATAGAATATTGAGTATCCATGTGCCTTCGATCCGGCCCAATTTTGAAGCTACTAGGATTAGTAAATTCATTCTCTAGCAGCTGAATATGAGCTAGAACAGGGCTCGCATACGCAAATTCAACGGCCTCTTCAACCAACTCATGGATCTTCCTATCTGTGACCTTCAACTACACTTCACTGTCCAGGTTGTTCTCAAACATATACTTCTTCAAGTTTGTTACAGAATCCCTAATGGCATAGTGGTTCTTTTCAGCACTCGCGATAGTGGCAGCTATATGAACTTGAATAATGTGACTGCTATCATTATTGTTCACCACAGCGGCAAATTCCTCAGGCTTCTCATCGATCAAGGGAGTGCTACTCTCATCAACGTACTTCTTCTCGACCTCCTTATCTATTGGCATTTCATCAAACATCTAGTGCTCACGAGCGGGATGCTGTTCCTCTTCCGTTGACTTAGATTTTTCCAACATCTCTTTCCTCGGAGTAACTTCTGAAATAACAACATCCATTAAATTGCTTAGTATTTCATCTGTGTGAATGGAAGTGCTACTGTTACAACCCATCAAAATCCCCCCATCCATCAACATTTCGGATGGAAGAGAGCTCTCGATGATGGTATCAAAACAAACGTGCTGCTGCTGAAACAGCAAAAGGGGAATTGAATATTCAGATCTATGGTTGGAATTATCAACAGCAGTTGGAATCGCTTCGTCCATCAGAAAATTGATTGGAACAGAATCATTGACCTGCTGTTGCTACTGCTCAAATAACAAATGTGGAGGATTATACTCCGAGATGTGATCAGTCCTCGCCATTTCCATGCTAGAGAGGAAATCTGTGTTATTAGATTGGAAACCCACTATGGCGCCTCTATTTAAAACCACCCCGGCAGTCGAAAAATCGGAAAAGGCCATGGTGAACTCTGATGGCTGGTAGGCATAAGGGACCGATAGGGAACTCCCAGCTTACCAAGGTTGATACCAAGGTTGATGTGGACTGAAATTAGAGGTGTACAGAGGGTTTGTTGGTTTGAATTGCTGTTGTTACCCCATATAGTAAGCTCCATAACCGCTATTACAATAACTGGAAGAATTAGGACCTTGGTAGGGTGCATAGTTAAAATCCTGTGGAAGATTTGCAAGTCTGGAACATTCACTATAGCATTCAGTCATGGATGCCTAGCTCGTGGGTCATTATAATAGCCGTATGGTGGGAGAAATCGATCCATCTCCATTGCCATAGAGGTCAGAGAATCGATGCTCTGATAACACTGTTACAAATACGGATTTTCGGAGGAAGAAGAATCTAACTATGGCTAAGGTAAGCTAAGAAGAGAAGAAAACAATGCAAATAAGATAATGATTTTTCATTCATTGCCTCTGAAAATGGCAAACTCGGTACATATAGAGGAAGTAAAACCTAGGGGTCAAACGAAATAACATAACTGCTTATAGGACTCAAATATAAAATGTAATAACTTATAGGTAAATAACAAGCTCAACTCCCATGTACACTCCCGAAAACACTACAAAAAAATACTAAATTTATGAAGGTTTTGTTTACATATTGTGGAGGTCAGTAACCCCCGCAATTTTCAGTTCCAGCGATTTCCAAAACCCTCGCAATAATGTTCGCCGCAATCAATTCGCGGGAATTTTTTGGAGGACCGCCGTTATCATATAGCAGCGGGTATTTAGCGTCGGTCTAACCTCCGCAATTTAATAGTTTAACTTTTTTAGAACACACGTATAGAAAAAATAACGGCAATCAAAACCCAAACAATATGTTTATTTAACCCCCGCAATTTTAAATATAATATTACTATACATTAAATTGCTGCGGTTATAACCCCCGCTATTCATTGAGTTTTTTTTTTTGGCAATTATTATACCCATATATAACTGATCCTATTTCAATTATGCTAATATAATGAAGCATCATCAGATTATATAGAATCATCTAATTAACATCAATATATTAATAAACCCTAAAATACATTAAAGTAAATTATTATTAGTCTCAAAAACTTGTTTTAAACACAACTACTCCATCCATTGAACACAAAACATCAGTATTATAGTTAGTCTTAAAACAAACTTTAAACAAAACATCTACTCCAACTATTATGGACAAAAGATCTCCTATGACCATTCAATTGAGTACGATACATTTGCAAGTGAACTTCAATGGTTGTCGTTAGGATTACTTCTACCAGATGATCTTCTAACATCCATGGGTGAAATGGATCTGCTAGTCCCATCACTTGGCTAAAAAAAATCAAAATAAAACATAATTAACGAAAAGTACCTCAACACATGAATTGAACTTACAGATACGAATACCATCTCCAATCCTCTTGTTATGTATATATCAGCACACAAAATATAAAGATTTTTTACTTCAAAATTTTGTTGGCACCTGAAGCAGAGGTGCATAATATTATATTTAAGATCAATAACATCAGTGCCATTTACATCTCGAGCTAGCAGCATATGCTCCAAAAGATATCCAAAAAAACAAATTCCAGAAAGAGAAAAAAGAAAAGTAACGCATACACTTAAGCAATTAGAAATCGAAGCTATAATTTCAAACATTTCAGATTTTCTTCTCTTCTCCTCCAGCTATCTATTAGTTATGATTAATTTTGCAGATCTAATAAATAAATAAATAGAAGTATCCCTACTCTAGTAGCTTAAACTCTAGTACCTCAACAATATCCTAAATGCACATTTGATGAGAAAACATGTGTGGATATAAGAGTAAAGAAAGTGAGAATAAGAGTCAAACACCACATAGCACAAAAGTTTTCAAAATTAAATAAGAAAGTTATGAACTTTTCTTACTGTTGAATGAGGAGGAGAAACAAAGATCCCTGCAAATTCCTCGGGTATCCTCCCTTCTTTCATTATCATATACGCCTTAAAAGCATTCATCATTTGGGTGTTAGCATTTATCATTTGGGCGTTAACATTCATCATTGCTCTGTAGTTCTCTTGGCTTTGATTGTGAGCATTCAACATTTGATTGTATTTCTCTTGGCATTGGGAAGAACATGAACCATTATTATAAGTTGAAGCATTCAAATCACTATAACGAGGTCTTGTTTGTCTAAAAGCTCAGCCAAGAACAGCTCCTAATCCCAAGCACCTTACCCTTCAAGAGTACTCTTTTCCCGGCACCTTACCAACGGCATCATTTGGCGAAATTTCAGACTCATCCACGGTGCTTTGGCTCAATGCTAGTTCAATTTTTTCCAAAATACATTACACACCAAAAGTAAGTGTCCTACCTTCACTCAGTGATTGATAAGTTATTAAAAAAGAAAAACAAGAGAAGAAGAATATTTAGCTTGTTGAGTAATGCACTTTGGTTGGGCTGTTCGAGTACAATGTCCTAGTGAATTGTCAAATTTGTTTTCAAATCTTATTCATCAGTATAAGGAAATTAGAGTTGCTTTCGTCTTGAATTATTTTTTAGCAGCTATAATGTCTAAAGGAAAAGGTCTTATACACACTTTCTATATTGCTTTTTTATCTTTCTAAGAACGAGTAGATGAAAGATTCAGGAAGACTAGATTAGTATTTCGTGTTGAAACAAATAAGGCATGGCATGGACCTCCTTGCAGAAATAGGCAAAGAAATATCTTTAAATGTAGTTTCCTCTGCATTTTAGCTTAGCTTAGGTATAGGCAGGTGCTAATAAAAGTAATGAGAACCACAATGTGAAGAACATCAGAAAGGATGTTTATTGTAAACTTTTATTTCCTTTTCTCTTATTTCACACTTCTTTTTTAGTGTGTCTATTTCTTTCCACTTCTCTGTATCTCTGTGAAGAGATGTTTCTATAGACCCCATCACACATGTGAACTCCAAAAGTGTTCTGTTTTTATTTCCCAGAAATGCATGTTTAGGAATACACAGTGTTATAAGATACAACTTTTTGAGTAATGCACCAGTAACGTTTCCATTCACTCAAACAATTTGTATTACTAGGTACTAAATGATTGCAAATTTGATGGAAGAAATTAAAAACTTACACATATCTCTTTTGCCGCCTCATTAACATATGATCCATCTTCATTCCTATGTGTAACGAGATAAAACTGTCCTCGTCCAGGCTTTTGTCCAGTCTCAGCCATCTATAAATGAAAAAGTTAAAGTCGCATTAACTTAACTAACTAAGAATAGTTGCTAGTTTAATTAAAGTATTCAAAATGAATCAATACCATTTCAGCCCTTCTTCTCGAGTTAGGTTTGGAGCTACCGATATGTGAAACAATTTGTTTCTTCCGAATTTCAGCATTTCTTTTACAAATTTCCTTACAAAAAGATACCACGAATTACTCATACTTGCCTATTGTATACTTGTAAAACCACAATATCATAAGTCCAAACAACATTTACCAGAATACTCAGCTATGGTTAATAACTTCTGTTCAAGACTTTCTGTTCAGTATTTTACTTCTATCAGCTTAAAGAATCCAAACTTCCTGACCCGGATTTAAAAAAAAAAAAACACTTTCCTAAACTTAAGCATCAATGCTGTACAAAAACGCATTATTAGAAACAACGGTATCAGAAATAAAACCTTTTTACCAAATGGTCACACAAAAAAAAACACCAAGTGGAAACTACATGTCACCATAATACTCAACTATGGTAAATATCTTCTTTCCGGTATTTTAATGCCCTCAGTTTAAAAATCCAAACTTTAATCTTGATCCAGGTGAAAAATCCAAACTTTGCTTGAACTAAACATCAATACACTACTACACCACAAGTGGAAACCACATTTCACCAGAATAACCAACTATACTCAATACCTTCCTTCTGTCATAATTTTATCTTGACCCAGGTTAAAAATCCAAACTTTGCTTGAACTAAACATCAATGTTGTACAAAAGCGGTAATCAATAAGAGAAGGTATTGGCCATGGTTGAAATGTAGAAGCATTGAAATAAATACTTGTGTCTTTTCTCTAGAGCGGTAATCAACAAAAGAAATCCATTGATCCGGTGGAATTTCCAGTGGAACGCTATCCATTATCTCAGCTCTGCTCTTAAGTGGATCATAGACCTTATCAAACAACTTTAGCCTTTTTGCGCCCCACTTCTTACACATAGAATTATAAACATATCGTCTTGCATTTGACTCAATTGTCCGAAAACAAAATCGTGGCTTCAAGGATAAACCAATGGTTAGATAATTATTACATGCAAATATAAAATCTTTATAATTATTGTATGCCTCAGGAATACCTTTATAAATCGATCATAACAACGATTGAAGATTGTCACATGTAAATCCGGCCATTTCTCAAAGTGAATTGGAAAAATGGAGCAGTCAGTTGCTAAAATTCCACAAAAGCCTGCAAGAACACCTTGTCCTTCACCAATGGGAGAATCCATGTCGTCAAAATCAACCACAATACGTTCTCCATTAGATAAATTTAACACGTTCCTTTTCTTCACTTTAAGTATCTTGCTAGCTCCTTGTGAATCTTAAAAGATAAAAACAAAAATCAATATGGTTCTCTATTCTTTGAGGCAACAGATCATTAGGTGTGGCGTAAAATACTTAGAAACCAAAAGGTCTCTTTTGCATGCAGAAAACACAGTGCATACAGTGAATGAAGTGACAACAAAGAAGGTCCAACTTTAATAGAAATTCATAATATAACTGAATGGGAGATAACAAATACAGGTACGAATTTAAGTCAAGAATATGTAGATGGCAATTTCGAGCTACACGTAAATAATACAGAGAAATAAGAATACCTTGTCATCAAACTACATAGACACCAAGTGTACAAAATTGGTACCAACATTTCATCCTTTCAACTTTGGTATATAAAATACAATAATAGGATTGTGGTTCAGAGGAACTGTTTCTGTTGTCAAATTTGGTATATAAAGGAAAAGGTCAGAACACAGTTTAAAAATATATAACAAATTCACCAAAGAACTGAAGATCATAACAGATATGATTGAAGATCAGAGAAGAAAATAGATGGTAAATTTTTCCAGTCACAAAATTCAAGATGGTAAATTGGTATCCAAAATTGATCTACAGCATATCGATGATGCAATCTCTTTGAATGTCTCGGGCATTTCTAATGGAACTTACTTTATATATTGGGATACGCACTTAATGCTACACATAAATACCTCTAAAGGCCGAACATTAGAATCAGCAAAAGATGCAAAGGGTTTGATATTCCAACACCTTCACCCATTCTTTATATACAAGTATAAAATGTGAAGAGTTGTACAGGTATAAAGTGTGACAAAATCCACTGAAAATCATACTGTAAGCTATATATACATCCCTTTTCTCTACTCTCTTACAAGTCATATATAATCATTCATTTATTTAATCGATCGACGAATATAATTAGCAGAAAGCATGTAAAGCAGCAGAGATGGAGCCAAGTAAATGAAATAGATGGACACCACCACAAACTCTAACGTTTTCATTCACTTTACTTAGTAGGAGTACTATTTTGCAGCGTCACTTCTGCACTATCATACAGTACCACAAGAAGGATGCAAGAGGTTTGATAACGAATGTAAAGTGATAAGAAGCATTAAGCATAGGTTCTCTATTCTTCGGGGTAACAGATTGTTAGTTGCAGCGTAAAATAGGTAGAATGTATAAATGAATGGCAATAACATACCTATGCATCTACAGTCCAATGTTGCATAGACACACGTCCACTACGCTTTCTAGATGGTGGTTGTTGTGACGCGGTGTTGGTCGTACTATTGGTTGAACTTGTGGTGTATCATCAAAATACGAAGGTGTTGATTCAGTTGATAAAGGTTGTGCTACACCTTGTGAGGTAGATGCTGACTGAATTGAGTTCTGAAAGTTCTCATAACGCTTGGGCTTCGGTATACCTACAAGCAATAAAGAAAAGCAGGAGTTCACAAAATTAGTAGAAGAAAAGTCGAATAATTAAAAAGAAACAATTCACACATGCATCCAAATATGGGCAAGAATTGTTCCATAATGATACGACAATCATGGCTTTTTAGTCCAAATATCCTCTTTTTATCTACATCAACACAACGAGAGATATTACTTGAGTAACTCTCCGGCACCGAGATATTTTTTAAAGTTTTGAGAAAGTCGACTCTTTTATTTGTTGGAATTGCAAACGAAGCAAGCCGACAATTCTCATTCTCATCTGGCTTTGATCACGCCTTATACCCATATCTTGTAGATCTTTTCGAGCCTTAACATGATTCTTTGATTTGTCTTTATCATATAGCAAAGTGTATATATTATTATCAAACACATTCTTCTCAATGTGCATAACGTCGAAATTATGGCGCAACAAGTTAGAATTTCCAATATGGAAAATTGAAGAATATGTTTTTTTTCTCAATTGTTGGGTTGCACTTTTCTCAGTGCCTTTTTGTCGATTTCTTTTCTTTCTTTCATTCAATTCTGCTGGTTTTCCAAATATAACATCAATTTTTTCCACTTGATTCAAAATATCTGACCCAGTTAACTTCCTTGGAGGGTTCTCACTTCCGTATTGCCAAAAAAACGAAGCCTCATCAATCTAAATTTATGATTTCTTGCCAAAAACCGGCGATGACCAATAAAGAACCACTTTCTACTATGACGAAGTCTACAAGGTTCTGTGTCAAAATTACAAGATGGACACACAAAACCAGTATGTGTGTTCCAACTAGATAAAATTTCAAGTCCAGGAAAGTCACTAACTGTCCACATAAGAGCTGCTCGCATTCTAAACATTTCATTCTTTGATGAATAAAAAGTTTTCACATCTTTACACCACAACTCATTCAACTCCTTAATAAGCGGTTGTAGGTATATATCTATATTATTTCCCATCGTACGTGGACCTGGAATGATCATTAAGAGGATAAAATTTGGTTGCTTCATACAGAACCAAGATGGAAGGTTATATGGAACCAAAATCACAGGCCAAATGCTATAATTAGTACTCATCATCCCAAAAGGATATAAACCATCACTAGCTAGGCCTAATCCAACATTTCTAGGATCGGAAGCAAATTCAGGAAAAGTAGTATCAAATCTCTTCCATGCCTCACCATCTCTGGGATGCCTTAGGATTCCATCTCTGTTACTATCTTTCACATGCCATCTCATATGCTCTCTAATTTTAGAACACATGAACAATCTCTGCAACCTTGGTTTTAGTGGAAAGTAATGCAAAATTTTTGCGGGCATCTTTTGCTTATTTTTCTTCTTTCTCATGGTAGACATGTGATTATTGTTGCTCTTCTTAGTTGGCTTCCATCTAGAAGTATGAAAATGCTTGCATGTTTCCTAATTAGCATCATCTCCCTAGTACAACGTGCAATCGTTTGGACAAGCATCTGTCACGACCCAAACCGATGGGCCGCGACGGGTGTCTGAGTCCTACATGTCAAACACTCCTAAGCATGCGTTTAAGATATGAATCTAAATAATATATGCTGAATTACGAAAATAACATATATGAAGGAAACCTGCCAACAAGGCATATGTATACATGCAGGATACAGTGGGTGAGCCGGCAAGGATGCTATAGACAACTATACATTCAAAACTGAAGGCCGACAAGGCCACATACATCCCAACTAGACATACTGTCTACAGACCTCTAATGGAAACATAACTGTACAAAGACGGGACTGAGCCATATCATACCCATATGCATATATATATACAAACGTATCGTACCAAAATCAAAAGCAACTCCGAATCAAGTGGAGCACGCCAACTCTCGCTGATCAGGGATCCTAAGAAGGGGGACCGTCAGCTTGTCTGCCTGCACCTGCGGGCATGAAATATAGGACTCGTGAAATAGGGCGTCAGTACGAAAATGTACTGAGTATGTAAGGCATGAAAATCAGTACGTAAAAGACGTAGATGAAACATACAATACAGAAACATATCTTTAAATCTGAATAACTTTGTAAATTCTGAAACGTTTATAATGTCATGCACGTGCATATAAATATCGTGCCATGCATAGGTATGGATGTACATAATATCATCAATCCAATGAGGGCATCCTATCATATCGTCTCGGCCACTGTGGACAACATCATCAACATATACCAGCTGATTAGGTAGTGGTGCATATATAACGCCGTAACCTTTTCCCATATCCCATATACATATATTTACATATATGCGCGTATATAACGTCATCTGGTAATGGGTCAATGCACATGTATAAATGAGTGAAATGCATGAAAAATATGTAATAATCTCAATATTCCTTCTGGATAAACTTTTCCAACTGCGTATTATTCTGAGACCCATGAATAGAGGATAATAATAATTCTAATGAGGAATCAAGAATATAGTTACCCCTACTATTTCTATAAATAGGGTAATTTATGAAAACTGTGTGTTTGCTCGTTTCTTAGTATAATTTGGACCATGCCAAAAGAAAGAAGGGATGACCTTAACATACCTGTTCCTGGAATTATTTGAATAGAATGAAGCTTCTGCTTCTGTGAACTTGAACGAAATTGATGCTTGGACTCTATAAAATTGGAACGAAATTCTTTTTGCTTGTCTAGATTTTGGGACGTTAGTCCCTTTTGTCCAAATCAAGGAAGCTAACTACTGATCCTTCATGTTTTCTTGGAATAAATTGAACAAAATCCCTACTAATCTTGCTACTTGTTTGTATTTGTAATGGAAGGGAAAATGAAACTTTGTTTTAAAGTCAGAAGCAATGTTCTTGTTAAGTCTTTAAATACCAAGTCTTCGAAATGAAATGGATTGGAAAGACTTGGATATCCAAAGTCTTGAAAAAAATGAAAGAAAAGTTGTATCCATTTGACACCTAATCAAGGAATGACTATTAGGCATTTCTTGATAATGTGGCTAGTTGCCACGTGGTGTGGGGTGGAATATTTAATTTTTTATCCACTTATTAGTTAATTGGATAATGTCTTGTTACCCGGTAATTAATCAATTACCCGCATAATTTAAAAATTACCACAAATTACTTAAAATTCTATGTATTTTTAAAATACTTCATATATACTTTATATATTATACTACCATGGTCATATGGTATCTTGCATGGTACTAGTTCATAATTATCGGATAGTATCGCTCGACTCGTATTTTATTCCAAATTGGCCACTTTCAACGAAACTCATTTTCTTTAATCTGTGTACCCCTTTATCCTTCATAATACTTATTTATCGCTTGTTATAACTAGCGTAAGTACGTTAACGTCAAGATGATCTCATCCCCGAGTCTAAGTCGGTTAACTGAAAATGAAATTTTAACGTACGACAATGCGAGATGTAACATCCTTCCCCCCTTAGAAACATTTGTCCTCGAATGTTCAACTCCCCGTGATCTATATAACTTTGGCAAGGTCGCCTCTGCAACAACACCACTACCAACTCTCCCCGTAGAAGCTTAATAACCCAACGACACACAGGACCATAATTATAAATAACGACAATGGCCTCATATGACCAACGACAATAACCAACACAAGAATTTATACACGTACCTTATGATTATGACGTCTCAGTCGGACCCTTATCTGGAGGAGGAAATAAGTAGGGATATCTAGACTTCATATTTTCCTCGGCCTCTCAAGTCATTTCTTCCACATTATTGTTCCTCCAAAGTACTTTCATGGAGGCTACCTCCTTATTCCACAGCTTGCGGATTTGTCAGTCTAGGATGGCAACCGAAACTTTCTCGTATGATAAGTCTTTTGTAATCTGTACATCATTCGTGGGCACAACTCGGGTAGGATCGCCATTGCACTTCCGTAATATAGATACGTAAAAAATTGGATGGACAGACTCCAATTCCGAGGGCAATTCTAACTCATAAGTTACTTGGCCCACTCTCTTAATGATCCTATAAGGCCCAATATACCGTGGGCTAAGTTTGCCTTTCTTGCCAAACCTCATCACACCCTTCATAGGTGACACCTTTAAGAATACCCAGTCATCATCCCCGAACTCTAAATCTTGTCGCCGCACGTCAGAATATGACTTCTGATAACTCTGAGCTGTCAATAGTCAATCCCAGATAAACTTTACTTTTTCTATGGCTTGCTGAACCAGGTCGGGCCCATGTAATCCAGATTCTCCAACATCGAACCACCCTATAGGCGACCTACATTTCCGTCCGTAAAGAGCTTCGTATTGAGCCATCCGAATACTGGAATGATAACTATTATTATATGTGAACTCAATAAGCAGCAGCTGATCATCCCAGCTACCTTTGAAGTCTATTACACAAGCTCGTAACATATCCTCTAGTATCTGAATAGTATGCTCAGCTTGTCCGTCTGTTTGGGGATGAAATGTTGTAATAAGACTTACTTGAGTCCCCAATCCTTTTTTGAAAGACCTCCAGAAGTTAGCTACTGAGCTCCTCTATCTGAGATAATAGATACAGGGACACCATGTAGTCTTACTATCTCCTTAATATAAAACCTCGCATAATCCTCTGAGGAATATGTAGTTCTAACGGGCAGAAAATGAGCTGACTTTGTAAGCCTATCAACAATCACCCATATCGAATCAAACTTATGCTAGGTATGAGGTAAGCCTGCGATGAAGTCCATATTGATTACTTCCTATTTCCAAGTCGGAATCTTCATAGCCTGCAATAATCCACCGGGTTTTTGATGCTCAATCTTAACCTACTGACAGTTAGGACATTGAGCAACAAATTCTGCTATATCTTTTTTCATTTCGTCGCACCAATACACTTCCCTGATATCATGATACATCTTTGTTGCTCTTGGATGGATAGAATAACAAGAATGGTGATTTTCTCCCATAACCTACCGACGCAGCTCTGCAACATTAGGCATACATAATCACCATTGATATTTGAGGACCCCATCTTCTATAATTTCAAACGGTGTCTTCTCCTTCTGAAGAGTGGTATCCCTATAATGAACTAACATAGGATCCTCGCACTGGCGTTCCTTTACTTCAGTTACTAAAGAGGATGTTGCCATATCTTGAAGAGTAATTCCAACGTCACCTCAGTCCAGTAACCGAATTCCAAGATTAGCTAGCTGATGAACCTCATGGGCTATTTCCCTTTTTTTGGCTGTAAATACGACAGGCTACCCATAGATCTACGGCTGAGGGCGTCGGCTACTACGTTCGCCTTCCCCGGATGGTATAAAATATCGATGCCATAGTCTTTAAGTAGCTCCAACCATCTCCTTTGTCGTAGATTCAATTCCTTTTGCTTGAAGATGTACTGGAGGCTCTTATGATCCATATAGATATCAACATGAATTCCATACAAGTAGTGCCTCCACATCTTTAGTGCATGAATTACCGCAACTAACTCTAAATCGTGGGTCGGGTAGTTCTTCTCGTGCTTTATTAGTTGTCTAGAAGATAAGCCACAGCCTTACTATGCTGTATCAGCACGCAACCCAATCCAACGCCTGAAGCATCATAATAGATCGCATAACCATCGGTCCCTTCTGGAAGCATTAGAACCGGTGCTGACGTTAATATGTCTTTTAATGCCTGGAAACTCCGTTCGCAAGCATCAATCCATTGAAACTTTTCTCCCTTCTGAGTCAACTTTGTCAAAGGTGTTGAAAGGGAAGAAAATCCTTCCACGAATCTTCTGTAATAACCTGCCAAACCGAGAAAGCTACGAACCTCCGTCTGTATTGTAGGTCTATGCCAAGTCTTTACTGCCTCAATATTTTGTGTATCCACTCGGATACCTTCACCCGAAATAACATGCCCAAAGAAAGCTACATAGTTCAACCAGAATTCATATTTAGAAAATTTTGCATACAACTTCCCTTCTTGTAGAACTCTGAGCATAGTACGCAGATGCTTAGCATGCTCATCCTCTGAACGAGAATACACCAATATATCGTCGATAAATACAATTACGAACAGATCTAAAAAAGCATGGACACATGGTTCATCAAATCCATGAATACTGCTAGGGCATTGGTCAGACCGAATGACATAACTCGAAACTCAAAGTGCCCATATCTAGTCCTGAATGATGTCTTCAGAATATCTTTATCCTTAACCCTTACCTGATGGTACCCAGACCTCAAGTCTATCTTTGAAAAACACTTGGCACCTTGCAACTGATCAAATAGATCATGAATTCTCGAGAGCGGGTACTTATTCTTGATCGTCACCTTATTCAGCTGCCAATAATCAATACACATTCGTAAGGAACCATCTTTCTTTCGCACAAATAAAATAGGTGCTCCCCACGGTGACGTACTAGGTCTGATAAAACCTTTTTCAAGCAAGTCCTTTAGTTGTTCTTTCAACTATTTCAGCTCTGCAGGGGCCATTCTATAGAGAGGAATAGATATTGCGTGAGTGTCTGGTAGTAGGTCAATAGAAAACTCAATTTCTCGCTCTGACGGGAGACCCGGAAGCTCATCGGCGAAAACATCGGGAAACTCATTCACCACAGGGATGGAGTGAATGGTTGGTGACTCCACTTCCACATCCTAAACCCGAACTAAGTGATAAATACAACCCTTTTTGATCATCTTCCTTGCCTTAAGATAGGAAATGAATCTTCCTCTCGGCGATGTCGTATGACCTTTCTACTCCAAAACAGGCTCCCCCAGAAATTGAAATTGGACTATCTTTGATCTATAATCAACGTTGGCATGACAAGAAGCCAACCAATCCATACCCATTATAACATCAAATTCTACCATATCTAACTCGATTAAGTCTGCTACAGTAGTTCGATCATGAACTA